ATCCGATTTAGTGCCAACTTTACAAATCCTAAAATATTCATCAGTCCTAGGTCATGGGCAATAATGGGCAACACTAGTCCATTCCATCAAGTACCTCCCCCACAAAGAGCCGAAATTTTGAATAAATTTAACTCTTATAAAATGTGAACTATGATTCCGATTGTCTTAAAATTTGGCAAATCCTAATATTTCTATCAACAGAATATCTGTTATGAATGTGGAATATATCGGACCACTACTTCTGGTACCTCCCCCACAAAGGGATCAACATTTTTAAAAACAAAACGCCCTATAAAATGCGAAATGACTATCCGAATATTTTCAAACTTGGTACATCCATATATTTCTATCAACACAAGATAAGGTGTAAAGATGGAATATGTCGGACCACTTCTTTTAGTACCTCTACCACAATATTTGGAATAATTATAACTATAATAAAATGTGAGATAAGTATCAGATTCTCTTCAAATTTCACACATCCCAATATTTTTGATAACATGGAGGTGGAGCATATAGGTCTACTCTTTCTGGCACCTTCCCCACAAGGGGGTGAAAAGTTTGAATAACAAAACGTTTATAAAATTGCGAAATATCCAACTGATTCTCTTCAAATTTTTCCACATCCCAATATTTTTGATAACACAAAATCTGGTGTGAAAATGGAGCATATTGGTCCACTCCTGGTACCTTCGCACGCTCAAAAACTGCGAATCGGGCATCCGATTCTCTTCAAATTTCATACATCTCAATCTTTCTTTTAACACTAGAAGATGATATATATCAGTCTATCCATTGTGGTACCTCCCCCTCACAGGATCGCAATTTTCAGTACTTATATCTCCCAAAACTTGCGAAACAATTTAGAGATTATTTTTAAACTTGGCACCTGTACAGTACACCTGTACGTATGATTGATTTCATAAATTCAATATTACTCATACTCAGAGTTTTCACAAAAACGACTGGGGCAAGCGATAGTAGATAAGGAACTAGTTTGTTCGATCGATTGGCAAAACTGTATTCATGGACCCATCAACAAAAGCAGTACAGCATTTTTTACTGAGTTTCCTCCTCTCTCTCTCTCTCCCTCTCTATCTCTCTCACTTCTATCTCACACATACCGTGTGTCAGCGGTGCCATAGACAAATGAAAATATAGACAACGAAATGCTCTCACCGTTCATCTTCGAAAAAAATCGGGTCAGCAGATGTCGTATATGTCGTTTCAGGGGTTTGAGTGGGAATTTTGAAGTCACTCAATTGTAAAATGTTAAAAATAACAAAAACTGTAGGATATTTGTCAGTTGATAATTGTCTCATAATAAAAGAAATGTAAAAAGTACGTGATGACATCGAAAAATTCAGGAATAATCAAGTAAAATGCTTGAAAACCGATAAAATGTGTTTTCGAAGTCGAGTGACTTGAACGCGTAAATAAGCATGTTGACTATGCAAAACATGATGAGCGCCATCTGGATAAAATGACAAAACTAACTTTTCGTTGTCTATATCTTCATTTGTCTATGGCGGTGCTCAAGAAAAAATATCTCTTTACAGTCAAATTTCTCTTTGCTTTTTTAAATCAAGAAGAATACAGTGGTAAGTCATTATTTAAACAAATATTTTTTATCCATTTGCTTTATAAATAATTTCGGCAAACATTTATGTTTAAAAACAATTAAATGGAATCGTAAAATATAAAGAAAAACAGAAATTTAATTTTCTCTTAAATTATCTCTTTTTTCGACTCATGTTCTAGAACACGGTTTTGAGCAGTGCTGCTGTATGTGAACAAAATGAAAGAAGGGATTAACGCCTTGTCCGATCACTGTTCGAAAATAAAATGTTGCTAAAATACCGGTAATGTTTATACCCTCCACCATACATACAGAGTGAGATAAAAAAACTGCAACCAACTCCAGACTGCTGTCATTTCTAAGCCACTCGTCTGACAGCTGTTAAAATTATTCCAGTGACAGCTCATTATATTGTTTACAGGCGTACAAAAGCATTTTGGTGAGAATTTTCCAGAAAAGAAGTTATTCGTGATGGAATTGAAGCGTGATAGTGTGATTTCTTTATATTTGGCTGGAAAACCACAAATGGCTATCGTTAGAGCACTCCAGCATTTAAAGTTGAATAAATGTGTTGTGTCTCGTACCATCGCTCGTTAGCGTAGCCCGACTGTAAAGGTGGACGGAGGAAAACAGCAATATCAGCAGAAATGGTTCGAAAAGTATAGAATCGACTTGATCGAAATCCGCGTCGCAGTGGCCGAAAATGGTTCGTGAGCTGAACATATCGCAATATTCCATTCGTCAATTATTGAACAATGAGCTCGGGGTAAGGCCATTGAAATTCCAAAAAAAAATGCAAGAATTTACACCACAACAGAAAGAAAATAGACTCAAAAGAGCTCAAGAGTTGCTTCACATGGCCGAAAGTGGTGAATTGTCGAATTTGGTTTTCTCCGATGAGAAAACATTCGTTGTCCAGCAGTTTGTAAACAAACAAAGTGATCGTGTTTTCTTGCCAAAGAGGTCAGCTGAAAATCTGCACCTTCGGTTGGCCACCAGAACTCAAGCGGCGGCCATGGTGATGGTGTGGGCCGCCATCACAGCCGATGGTCGTTCTCCGTTCGTATTAATCGACCGTGCGAATAAATGCCGAATATTATTACGAAAATATTCTGGAGGGTGTATTAAAGCCTTGGGCACTCAAACATTTTGTGCCCAAACATTTTGGACATTCCAACAGGACTCGGCACTCGGCAGGACTATCACACTCAGCACGCACCACCCAAGAATGGTTACAAAATGAGGTTCCTCGTTTCATTTCCAATGCACAATGGCCACCAAAATCCCCGGATACCAATCCGTTGGACTATTGTGTCTGCAGTATTTTGACGAATGCAAGGATGGCACTAAAAAATACCAAAGTGTCGATCACCCCAAGTAAGCGCTTCGAAGTTAGTTCGAAGATGGGCTATATCGGTCCACGATATCTTATATCCCCCATATAACGGTACCTCCCTATATTCATATTTTTATGATTTTAACTACATCTTTCAATGAAATTGTTTAAAAATCCATACGAGGTTCGATCTAAGCACTTAACCCCCTGGAAGAGAAATGTCTATATAGGTCGACGATGTCTATACACCCTCGACGATGTCTATACACCCTCGACGATATCGTATAGCCCACACTTAATGGTATATGCATGAAATTGTCTATGCATGTTAACGTCTTCGTATAGCCTCCATATAACGATACCTCCCTATTTTCGTTATTTTGAAGATTTTAGCGGCATTATTCACCGGAATTGTTTCAAATTTGGTATTTGTAGTTCTTAATGGATACTACAACCTATGCCAAAAAATTATCTATGTAGGTTCATATAGCCTCCATATGAGGATACCTCCCTATATTCGTTATCTTGATGATTTTATCGACGTTATCACCATAATTGTTTCAAATTTCGTATTTGAAGTTCGGAATCGGTACCACAACCTATGACAGAAAATGATTTTAGGTACAATATTCACCGAAATTGTTCTAAATTTCGTATTTGTAGTTTCTAATAGGTATTACAGCTTGTGACAGAAAATTATCTATGCTGGTCTTCCCTATATTCGGTATTTTGATGCTTTTGCCTAGATTATTCTTATTGAATATTATAATGGATTTTTAACAAAAGATGCCTATGGAGGTCCACATCTTCGTATAGACCCCAATATAACGGCTATATTCGGTATTTTTTAGATTTTAACAGTATTTTTAACAGATTTTTTTTTTTTTGAAAATTTACAAATTCGTTCCAAATGGAGGAGCGTTTTCAATTCTGCTTTTGATACCCTACACCACAGGTCAGATATTATGTCTTTTTTTTGCATTTGTTTGTAACAACCAAAAGGAAACGATATAGACCCATAGTTCCTTTTGATGATCTGCAAAGAATCACATTCTGAGTCGATTTATGCATGTTCGTCCGTCCGTCCGTCCGTCCTCCTGTCCTTGTATTATTGTAAACCAAGTACAGATCGCATTTATTGCCCCATCCAGATGAAATTTTGCACAAGTTATTTGTTTGACCCAAGGACGAAACCTATTGAAATTGGAGATAATCGATCAAAATTTAGATATAGCTCACATATATATGTTCTTCCGATTTATATGTTCTTCCGACCGAATTAAGCCTAGAATTAAGCATGCCAAATTTGATCGAAATCGTTTCAGATATAGCTTTATCTCCCATATATGTATTGTTCATCCGATTTGATATTTTTGTCGAAAGCAGCCGTAATATGCACTCTGTAACAACAATATTTGAGGAAATATATCAAATAAAACTCAGAAATACCTTTGTCAAATATTATCGAGATCGGTTTAGATTTGGAAATAGCTCTATTTATGGGAGCTATTTCCAAATCATCCGATTTCGAGTTAATTGTCCACCAAATGGGTAATATTAGCCCAAATTGGATGGAATTTGGTTAAAATCGATTCAGATATAGCTATAGCTCCCATATATATTGTTGATCCGATTTGTTATATTGGCTCTCCACAGCCGTAAAATGCACCCCGTAGCAACGATATTCGGGGAAATATATCAAATACAGCTCAGAAATATCTTTGCCAAATTTGACGGGATTGGTTTAGATTTGGATATAACACCCTTATATATATATTTATCCGATTTCAAGTCAATTGTCCACCATATGGGTAAGCCCGAATTAAAAAGGAACAAGTGTATCGGCAAATTTAGCAGAAATCGATTCAGGGGAGGATATTCCTCTCATATATTAGTTCTTTTGGACTTCAAATTTTAACTATAATCATACGTCGTATGATTTCATTCTCAAAAATTCCCCATAACAACTTTTATTTGTTATGTGAAGCTCTGCTTAATATGTCAAGGTGTGTAGGGTATCATGAAATCGGCCCACCCGACTTTAAGACTTTCATAACTGGTTGAAATATATTTTCGTGTACTTACATTTGAAAACAATTTAAAGCAGGATTTGTCCAAATAAAGGTGTTGTCTAAAAAATAAAAAACGTTTATATATTAATTTTGTTGAAAGATTTCAGTATAGTTTGAAATTAAATTAAGAAAACTTGAGATTCAAATACAGAAGACCTTTTTTTTTAAATTTTTTGTTAATCTCCGGTAACTGTAATTCATTTTACCGTGTTGTTTTACTTTTTATGCTCATTTTTACTTTTAATAAATTATGTCTTCGAACATTAAAATACATTGAAATTCTATCAATAATTTAGTAGCCCTCTTTGGTACAACAGCGAGTTAAAAGACTCATCAATAGCTCTTAAAAGTAAAAACGTTCGTACGCAAAATAAATACCACCAGCATCATCATCACGTCCTTCATAATCAGGCAGCGAAAGAGAGAGCTTAAAGAAAACAACTAAAAAAGCTGTATGTTCGGCCGGGCCGAACTTTGAATACCATCCACAATTTGGTACAAATTTGGCAATTTTCAAAAAAATAAAATCCGTTAAAAATTCTGTTAAAATTTTAAAAATACCGAATATAGCCTCTATATTGGGATCTATACGACGTGAACCTACATTGGCTTCGTTTGTCATAAGCCATTACCATATTCAAATTCGAAGCGTGAATAAACGTGAAGCGTGAAATGTAGCTAAAATCATCAAAATACCGAATATTAGGAGGTACCGTTATATCGGAGCTATACGAAGACCTGGACCTGCATAGACAATTTTCTCTCACAGCCTGTAGCATCCATTACGAAATTCAAATAAGACATCTCAAACAATTTCGTTGAGTATTGTACCTAAAATCGTCAATATACCGAATATAGGGAGGTACTGATATATGGGGCCTATACGAAGACCTGGACCTGCACAGACAATTTTCTGTCTTCGTCTGAAATATCCATTACGAGCTTCAAACACCAAATTTGAAACAATTCCGGTGAATAATGTCGCTAAAATAATCAAAATACCGAATATCGGGAGGTACCGCTATATGGGAGCTATACGAAGACGTGGACCTGCGCAGACAATTTTCTGTCTTAGGCTGTAGTATCCATTACGAACTTCAAATACCAAATTTGAAACAATTCTGGTGAAAAATGTCCCTAAAATCATTGAAATACCGAATATCGGATATTATATTGGGGCTCTACGAAGACATGGACCTGCACAGACAATTTTCTGTCTTAGGCTGTAGTATCCATTACGAACTTCAAACACCAAATTTGAAACAATTCCGGTGAATAAATTCGCTGAACTCATCAAAATACCGAATATCGGGAGGTATCGTTATATGGGGGCTATATCAAAACGTGGACCTACATGGTCCATTTTCAATACCAAAAGGCCTGCAGACATAACATACATTTGAGTAAAATTTGATCAATTTACTTCAATTCGTTCGGAAGCTAGAGTGATTTCCACAGACGGTCAGACGGATAGATGGACGCACATCGCTAAATCGACATAGACTTTTATGCTGATCAAGAATATATATACTTTGTGGAGTCTAAAATGCATATTTCGAGTTGTTACAAACGGAATGACAATGTTAATATACCCTCTATACTATGGTGGAGGATATAAAAATGGAACGACTCATTGTGAGGAACTTTGTTGGGAAATACCATCAACATTTCGCTGGCAATTCGTGGAACAAATGATGTTGTCCGCATGTCTGTCAGTCGGTCAGTCGCCCACCCACGAACATGCCAAGCAATGTTACATGCCAAGAATATTGTCATAAGAAAACAGCACTTTCTTTCTTTCTTTACGCCTGTAACAGCTGGCTTAGCCGAAGTGGTGATGGTGGTGGATGGCAAACCATCTGATACGTTGTTTTTTTTTTTCTCTCACTCCTGCTGAGAGATCTTAATTCGCTGCATTTGTTGTTTCATTTAAGTGTGCAAGGTTTCATCAGTCGTTTTTTTTTCACTTCGCATCTTGAAGTTTAGTGCAGCAAAGGATTTACTTCTTCATTTTTTGTAGGAGTGTTTTTGTTGTAATTCTGCAGCGAGAAAAGATTTTTGTGTTACACTTTTTCATTGAAAAAAAAAAAATCTCCTTTTCAAGAAAATAATTCCTTTAAAGCCTGCAGTTGAAGGATAATAGAAATAAGTTTTCAATTCACTTAAGAAGCTCTACAACTGTAGCTAACGATGCTTAACTTAAGCTCGCATTATTGTTTGTCAATAATGAATGAATGGATGTGATTTTTTTAGGCGAAGGGGAGCGCCAACTTGGATCATTGGAAGGTGATAAAATGCTCAGAAATAATGCAAATAATCAAATCCGAATTGAAAATAGGCCATGGAAAGTAAAAGTATTCTTTGTTTGAAATGAAAAGAATTCGATTTAGAAAGGAAACGAAGTCACATTTGTCTATTGAAGTGACAAATCAGGTCGAAATAATTTCAAGTTCGGGATTTGTTGCAAATAGGATACATAGTATGGAGGGTATATCAAGTTCGTCATTCCGTTTGTAACTCATCGAAATAATAAAGTTAGACCTAACAAAGCATATATATTCTTGATCAGCGTAGAATTCTAAGGCGATTTACCCCTATCCGTCCGTCTGTCCGCCCGTCTGTTGTAATCTAGCTAGAGTCAAAACGAATTAAGCTAGGAAGCTAAAATTTTGCAGAGATCAATCGTTTGTGTGCAGGCAGGTCAAATCGAAGATGGGCTATATCGGTTCACTATATCGTATAGCTCCCATTAAACGGTACCCTCCGATATTCATAATTTGGATGATTTTAGCAACATTTTTCAATGGAATTGTCTGAAATTCTACACGAGTGGTCTTTTGTGGGTACTTTATCGCCTGAAAGAGAATTGTGTATATATTCTTTAAGACATAAAGGCCATACCGATATTCGTTATTTTGATAATTGTAGCTACATTTTTCAATGGAATTGTCTCAAAATCCACAAAAGAAGTTCCTTCTGAGTACCCTATCCCCTGGAAGAGAATTGTCTATATAGTATATCTCCCATATGACGGTACCTCTCGATATTTGATATTTTGATGATTTTAACTACATTTTTCAATGGAATTGTCTCAAAATCTACAAAAGAAGTATTTTACGATCTGGAATTGAATTGTCTAGATCCACGATTTCATATACACCCATATAACGTTACCAACCCATGTTCAATATTTTGATGATTGTAGCCAAATTGTTAAGGATTTCTTTCTGAGTTCTTTAACCCCTGAAAGAGAATTGTCTTTATGGGTCCAGGATATCGTAAATCCCCCATATAACCGTACCTCCCGATATTCGTTATTTTGATGATTTTAACTACATTTTTCAATGGAATCGTCTCAAAATCCACAAAAGAAGTTTCTTCTGAGTATTTTACCCTCTGGAAGATAATTGTCCAGGTCCACGATATCATATAGCCCCCATTAAAAGGTACCAAAGGGAGAGAATTGCCTGCATAGGTCCACAATTTTGTATTGCCCCCATAAAACGGTATCCCAAGTTTTTTTTTTATTTTAGCGACATTTTTGACCGGAATTGTTTCAAATTTCGTATTTAAAGTTTAAAGCCCGAATGACGAAAAACTGTCTATGCAGGTCCATCTGCCTGTCGGTCGGTCAGTCTTTGTATAGCCCACATGAAACGGTACCTCCCTTTATTCCATATTTGGATGATATTAGCAACATTATTCACCGGAATTGTGTCATATTTCGTATCTGAAGTTCGAAATCGGTACTAGAGTCAATGACAAAAATTACATATGCAGGCCTACGTCTTCGTATAGCCCCCATTTAATGGTTTCCATTTAAGTGATATTTTTCGACGGATTTTTTTTTTAAATTTTCAAGATGGAGGGTATTAAAAGTTCGGCCCGACCGAACTTAGCTACTTTTTTACTTTCTTTTATTTATTTATTTTTCTTATACCCTAAAACATATGGCTACAAAGGGTATATCATTTGATACGGCCAAAACGTGTCTCATCGAAATAACGGTTTTTTACCCTAGGTTTCTCTGGACCAAATCCATTTAAGGACATTTCGAGTCTATCTAGCTATGTCCGTCCGCCCGTCTGTCTGTCTGTCTGTCTGTCTGACTGGTGCACACGATAACTCTCGAAAGGAGTATCCGATTTGGTCCAAACTAGGTAGATTGTAATATTATTATCGAACTTTGATCGAGTTCGGAGATGGGCAATATCGGTCCACTCCGTCTGGTACCTCTCCACAAAATGTTAACATTTTCTAAGCAAATAATTTACTACACAGAAAGAGAAAGGATAACCCAATTTAACTTTACAAATTCTAATATTTGCATAAGTTCTACGTCAGGTGCGAATATTGACAATATCGGTACCTCCCCCACAAAGGGTTAAAAAATAATTGAGTTCGATTGTCTTCAAATTATTGTTATTAACCTAATCTTCATCACAATATTGTTATTAACCCTAGGTCTGGTGCGAAGATGGAATATATCGGTCCACCATCGGACCATTCCTTCTGGTACCTCCTCCTCAAAGGGTTAACATTATGAATAACCAAGAGGATTATAAAATCCGGAATAAGCATTCGATTATCTTCTTATTTCGCACATCCCATTATTTCTACTAACACAAAATCTGCTATGAAGATGGACTATATGGGTCCACTTTTTAAAGTACCTCCCCCCCAAAGGGTCAACATTTTGAGTACCCATAAAAGCTCATAAAACGCGAAATTAACATCCGATTCCATTCAGATTTGGCACATCTCAATATTTATATCAACACAAGGTCTGTTATAAAGATATTTAAGATCGGACCTTTTCTTCTGGTACCTACCCCACAGAGGGTCAAAGTTTTGAATCATCAAACCGATCATAAAACCCGAAATAAGCATCCGGTTCTCTTTATATTTCACACATCCCATTATTTCAACTAACACAAAATTTGCAGTGAATATGAAATATATCGGTTCATTCCTTCTGGTACCTCCCCCCACGAAGGGTCAAAATTTTGAATATTCATGCAACCCATAAAACACGAAATTAACATCCGATTCCATTCAA